ACTTTTACGACATTCTGTCATTATCTTCTAAAAATATATTGAACGTCGTAGTTTTCATACTCCGTACCATAGTGTACTGTCTATTACTTCCAGGAATACTTTATGAGGAGTAATAAATAATTATTGATTAAAAAAATTGTTAAATGTTTACTACACTTCAATAAACACTATCATTCAGCAACTCTCGTAAACCAAGATTTTTGTAGCACGTGATAACGGCATTATTTCTAGTGGAAAGATGCCAAGTAAATTAATATTGGATACTGAAACATAAACTAGATAGACTGCAATGTCTCTTCATAAAGGTTTCATTCATAAATATCCTTTTTGTACAATATTTGCTAATGTTAATGTTCTTTAAATAATTTTACGCTCGGGTGCGGTTTGTTGTAGCCCTTATTTACATATTTATCTTCACTCTAATTAAGAATTCTGCAAACAATATTTTACATTAATTATGTTATGTAGTGCTCGATTAATTATACTAGACATTAAACCTAGTACTTCCCTACATGTGTCGTCATTAAGTGGCATTTATTATACAAATTGATAACGTCTCTTGCTAATCTGCTAGTGTTTGAGTAGAATAGACCAATTTGCCGAATGCTATCGACGATTTATAATGCAAATTTCGCTCAGCTGTTACCGACTGAGTCCGGTAACCTGATCGTTGGTGAAACTCTCAAGCTATCAGTGGAATAAATAATTCAACGACATTTTAGGGCTGTGATTTTACATTGCGAAGGATAAGACTTTGCAGTGCTACATTTTTAATGTACCTACTTACGCATATGCCAATTACTAAACAATGTCCTAACTTATTCTATATGTTAAGTTCTTGTGATTTACAGGAAAGGCTGTGGTATACAGCTAGTCCTGTATAAACTTAGCCTAACCTACAATAATTATAATTATTATTTAAGAGCTTGTTGAACCACAGTGACCTACATAGCCTAAAGGGTAAGTAAGCTGGAGTGGTAATGGGCTGGTCGCATAGCTCTAAGAATCGACAACCGATGGGGAAGAAAAGTTCTTCAGTGGTGACCCCGTACGAGTAGTGTAGGACAATCCCCCACTAGATGGAGTAGCGTCAGTTAGTCAGTGGATGCAGGTGGTTTAGGAGCGTTTCTTATAGCAGTCTATGTGGGAGGCCTATGTTTAGTAATGGGCATATAACGGCTGATATGACGATGATGATGATGATGAAGAGTTTTTTGTGTTGGTTTTATTTTTATACACCTATGTGCCAAGAAAACAATTTGGATGTTTATTTATTTATTCTTTATTGCACAATATAATTTGTACAAATGGCCTGTTTAATGCCTTATGGTAATGTTCACCAGATAACCATTAGGTTAAAACAGAAAGCGTTTGAGGTCAGTGGTAGTGAACATACATTACACAAAAAATAAATTTACCTATAATAAATATCATATAGAATAATATTATAAATATATATAAAATACAAACATATATAAATATGATATATCCATACTGTAAATGCAAAATGTATTAAACACCACTTTGACGGATATCGAGTTGTTTTAACACACGTTTTTAATTATGAATTGTTATATAAGTTATTTCATAACATTTTTTTAATAATATAGACATCTTGTCTAAATTTAATTCTTTTTTTTACATTTATTATTTTAAGATATGAATAAAATTTATCAGATGCGTTGTATATTACATTTTCTAAGTTTGTTTCGTCATTATTAATACTGCTACGGTGCTTGTCTATTTTTATAAATATTATAATTGTTAAAGTTTTGTTTGTTACTTTTTGGCGTATCAATAGTTCAACTAATAGTTACGTAATTTGGCAAATAAGTAATATTTGGAATGGGGAAGGACATAGGCTACATTTTTTCCCCTGACAATTAATATATCTCGCGAATGAAGTTGCGGATTAAAATTAGTATTACGTAATGATGGGTTAGCTTGCCCATTCATATATAAACAACTAGGTACAGAGCTTTAACTAGAAAAGCGATTACTAAACTACTCCACTTCAAAAGGACAAAACAAAACAAATACAATTGCTGAGAAGATAAAACTGCCCCGATTTGTTTTAACGATTCCCTAGAGATCGTAGTCATGTGTTTGACCAGCCTATCAAAATATACCGTTAGCTTTTAGTCTACTATAGTAATTTTAGCCTCTAGGTAGTAGATTTGGTTATCGAGTTGTGATGAAAATGTACAGTCATGTATATAAAAATTAATTCGATTTTGAAGACCAAAAAGTAAACAAAGAAATATATCGTAATTTATTACATTTAAAATATTTGAAGTTAGAATGCAAAATCGTTTAGAGATATCCTTTCAGGTTTTCTCTAAACAATAAAGATGTTTTTCTTGGAATTTCAAAATGATATTTGCCTAGCTCAAGCGTGTTTATCAAATATAAGATGTGCATATCAAAGATATGCACATCTTAAACCAAAAATAATATATTTTTGTTTAATTTTCTCAAGCTAAAAATATTTTAATTTAATTCAAATTTCAGTTTATTTTATTGAATTGAATGTGGTATTTTGATTTTAAAACAATAGGTGTTTGAAGTTAAAAAGAAATGGTTCTGGTGACTTGTAATACAGATTTAACACCTAATGTAGGCACCAGCTCCTACAAACAATATTGTTAAAATTTTCTGCATATTATAGGTAGTAAGTTCCTTAATTGTTTGTGGTGAGAAATAAATAAGTAAATATATAATAATACTAAATAAGTACATGTAAATTAAACTAGATTTCCCTCTAATTTACATTACATATACATATTTTGTATGGCGGTATAAAGACCTTAATAAGTGTAAAATATCTTATCTTTTACTATTTCTTTATATGAAAGTTATTTTCTTTATTATATACCTAAACTAGGCGTGCTAAAGGTTTAACCCAATGGATAGCATCTAAACGTTTAGGTAATAAAATATAGCTTTTAATTAAATACAGAATTAAAATAAAATGAACAATTGAATTAAGATTATTTTTCGGAATAATTTCTATTTTATTGCATTTCTTGCAATAAAAACTATATATTCTATTTTAGCAAGGATTCAATAGAAAAAAATGTTTATTTATAATATTATTAGAGAATAAAGATATGAATGAAAAAAAAATGCAGATAAATGTAGAACCAAATAATATATATTATTTAATTATTGTTTTTACTGAAGTAAAATTATCTTATTTTAAGTAAACTGTTTTTACCATATATAAGTAAACATTACATCGCAGCAAGCAGTTTTTTGCTTTATTGCTTGGCAAAGAAAAACGACAGTTTTAAATGTCAAAAAGCGATAAGTGACATACGCTGGAATAAAACCTATCGATTGTAAGAAATGCATTAAAGTTATAATTAAATTAAAAAAACAAAATAATTATTAAGACAAATGTAAAAACAAAATGCATAAAAAATGAAAGGGTTTGCAATAATAGTTATAAAAAATATGCGTCAAATTGACAACCTCTTTCTTTTGAATGTCCTTAAAAATAGGCATCTTACATAAAAACATAGCGTTACTACGCTAATACACTACCCACGCTAATAAATAATAATTCAAATGCAATATTTGTCCCTACATTTTGTCTACCTGGATAACCGGAGTTCGGTTGATTTTTTAATTTCTGCGTTTTCCTGTACATCGGGTTGACAGAACGTAAAATGTGGAAATTACAATTCACTAATAGAAATGGATGGCCAGAATGGAGCTCGTTTTTATTTCTATTAATATAACACAGTATTTTTGGGATTTACGCATCAATGTATATAATGTATATAAATTTGGTTAGAAGGAATACTGATGTCAGTAAATTGTATTTAAATTATTTATGAGAGTCTAAATAATGAGTTTATCAATCTCTGATATTTATCATGATTTTATCCAACGAGAAAAGAGTAAAATTTTTAATTATCTAGAATAACAAATATAATATTATATAAACTAATTAAGCCAACGTTATTACTTTCGTTACAAATATTTTTGATTCACATTAAAATAAAACTAGAACCTTAAGTATATCGACCTGCACAATATGTTTCTTACTCTGTCACGCTTAATCAGCTTAACAGATTTGAATGAAATTTGGAATACATTAAATTGAAAATATTCTAATTTCAAAATCCAATTATTTAAAATTAGAACACGGAATCGTGCATCTACAAGTAGATTTTGCTTTCCAAGGAAAATAACCTGATTGAATAGACACAAAATTAATATGAAATCAAAAATGAACAGATTTAGAATTGGCGAAGATATTTAATAACATAGAATGGACTGCTCCTTCCTTTCTTGTGGGTGTCGTAAGAGGGGATTGAGGAAGCCTAATGGTCAAGGGATGTTTAGCAGCGTCCCTCTTAAAACAACACCAAAGGAATGGTTCCGTTCCTTATGGCAGTCTATGGAGGGGCCTATATTCAGCAGTGGACTGCTAACGGGGGGAAAGGGATTGTATGTAATGGGGTCTGATTTCCCTATAACTAGCAATACTCTCTATCAGGTCGACCTCCACGCGGTTTCCTCTGGAAACTATCTAACTGACCAACGTTTTCATCCTCACCTATCATCCCTCACTGGTGCCCGCTAGCGTATACCGATAGCGCAGGCGGGGTTACCGTTTCCATTATTACATATTAAAAAAAGTCTGATATGATGATGATGACTCAAAAACAAACAGACGAATTGAGAACATATTTCTTTTGGAAGTATATTATAAATACATGAACAACATCATAGACACTTGTAGGTACCTGCATGTATCTAAGGTGCTGTTCAAATCTATAGTTAACGACTAAGACTCTTTATCATATAGTCAGTTAGTTCAAGTCGTTTGTTACACTAAGGGTTATAAAAAATCAATGTATCATACTTCGTAACTTTCATATCGTTCAGTCAAACGGTATCGGAGTTCAGTAATTTCAAATATACAAGTACACCATTCATAAAAATGGTTGTTATATTTTTAAGGCTTTTTTATACGTATATTAAAGTACCTTTGCAGGATCCTGATGATTGCCGGTGACGTATACAGAAGCACGCCGACCGAGAAGTGTACGACTGACGATGGAACTGCTCCTTCTTCCCGACAAACGGTCCTGTGGCACTGGCAGCATTTTCACTATTGTTTTTTTTTTATTTAATAAAAATTAGATCTACCTTATTCTTTGCACTATAGCCATAACACTTGTTCAATATTGACAGATGACACTTAATTTTTTAAGTTGTTCGGCTCGTTTTTTTCTATGCTAGAGGCACTAATTTACAATGGTGTTTCCAAGTTGTTTAATAAAGGAAATAGAATAGAACATTCTTGAGATGAAGAAATGGCACAGGTATAATCTGTAACAAGGAAACATATATTAAATTAGTATCCATACTTTCTCTGGCCCAAAATTTTAATTATCATATCTGTGCACGACACACCTTTTTAGTTTCCTTTTTAATTTTATTAGAAAGAAGTTTTTGTTTGTGTTTTGAAGTTACTGTCAGTTCAGCTTTTTTTTCGTTCGCTATTTTGCTTCTTTGGTTTGCTTTGTATATATTTTATATAATTATATTATCTTTCTAAAAACACCGTGTATACCATACCAGCACACAATCCTTTCGCCTACAATGTCAATAGAGGACGACTTTGTATCTTTACTTCCAAGTATGCACATGGTGGAATTGATATTGATATAATCGGTAACATATATTCTTCTTATCCATTTACAGCCGAGTAAAAGCGGTTTTTAGACTTGATGCTCTATTTATATAATCTAAAGTATAGTATGTTAAATTTAACAAAAAAATATTAGGCCGTCAAGGTATAAAAAGATAACAAATAAATGAACTTAATAATATAATTATTAAATTATTAATAGAAAATCTTGGTAAGCTAGCTAGAAGAGATTATACACTTTTTACAGTATAATAAAGAAAAAAGAATAAATAAATAAAAATAATATTTTATAGAACGTAAATATATACTATTATAATGAGAGAATGCTATATAGTATTAAGTCCGCCTTTTGTACCAGACATTTTTTATAATAGATTTTTTATGATAGAATAAATAAATAAATAAAAATATAAATAACCAAGTTGTTGGGATCGCTTATATTTCTACTTACACACATCCATTTAAATGCGATTACTAAGCATTCTATATAGAGTTTTTGTATCATCACAAGAGATCCAAAAAGACGGGAGGCAACTAGAAATGATGAGGGTCATCATTTGCGAACGCCTTTTTCGCGTCCGCCAATCACTTGCAAAAATGATATGGGTTCTCTAATATTTCCTTCTATAGAATTAAATACTTATCCTTTGAACATCGGAAACATAAACGTCGACCTTAATGTGCATTCGGAAATAACATTTTACACATTTTTATCTAAAATTTCGTTGTCATAACAACAAAATTTTAGATAAGAGATTTAAAATTTTGTTTCACAAAAAAACAACTTCTCAAGCGTGACTAAATTAAGAGCGTTCTTAACTTTTGCTTATCCAAGTGTGGCAACGTTGCAATTATCTGTCAAATTACAAAAGCAATTTAACATTTTTCAATGTTTCTGACTGGTTATTTAAAAATGCACTGCTACCCTAAGCATAATTCCGAAATCTTTACTTGTACTGAACTAAATAAAATGTTAATCATAGAGTAGGTAAATTGCATATACTCGTAAATCTACTTAAAAACTTTGCATTTACTTCATAAAATTATGAAATTTCCAAAGAAAATGCTTTGGAATTTTTCAAATATATTAATGTCATCAAAATCTTAATTTTCTGTCATAGTTTTATAGAGATATTATTGCGTAATTAACGTTTTGTTTGATAGCAGAGCACTTTTTAAATAATTTAACAGAAACATTGTAAAATGTTCAGTTTTGTTATGTTTTGAGTATTGACAGACAGTTTCATCATTGCCATACTTTGTTATGAACGGTCTTAATATGCAACTATCTTGATAATCTAATTGTGAACCATTTTTGATAATTGTATTTGCAATCGATACAGTTTCTCTGGCGTTGATTGAATATAAATTTTGTCGTTTTTTTGTGAAGCAAAATTTTGTTTTATTGATTTAAAACTAGATATCTCGATAAACTTCGTATCACCTACAATGCCATCTATTAAAAGTAATCAGAAGTAGCGATTCTCATATAAAATTACCTATTTTTAATTTTTTGATTTTTGAGCTGAGTTTTAACGTTCTTTTTTTTATAGCTGTATTATAACAAATTTAAAAAAAAATCAAATCGGACAAGCTGTATTTGCATTTTAATCTCATTTGGAACCTGTGAAAACTTTAATGACAGATTGTCATTAAAATATTTTATATACGAGTAAGTAGGTATATTTTATTTAAATTTATTTTCAGTGTTGCATACTGATTTTGAAATCAACACCGATTTATTTGAGTGCATATGTATTATGCAGCTATAGAATTTAATGGAAAAAATAGTGCTGTAAAACCCCTTTACAGTATGCATTAAATATACATATGGTGACTTAAATATGCGCCCCGAGAGATTGGTTACTATGTTTGTCAATAGCTCGCCTTATCCATTGCCAAACGATACAAGTCCCTGAGGCTCATCGCTTTTATCTCCAGACATGGAAGTGCATTCACTCATATTAAGATGAAATGTAGTTCGTTCTATAACATGAACAATTTTACACGGTTATATTTAAATGGTTATTGGTTGATTGTTCGAAATGGTTAAAAATTAGTTAATTTATATTAAAATTAGTTTAAAATTGGACATTTTAAACTAATTTTAATAATTTTAAACATATAGGTATTTTTATACAAGGGATTTTGCCAATAGTTTTCAACCTTGGTAGACGGATGTGCAACCATAGTTCGGCTTTGATAATGTTTTAAAATGGACGCTGCTGCCCATCTTTTAACCATTGAGTTACCTTAGTCACTCTTATAACAACCGCGGAAGAAGGGAGTGCCGTGTGGTCCCGGCATAGAACGAGCCACCCCCTTCTTTATTCTTCATTTAATATATAGATAATATTGGAATTGACAAAAAAATTTGAAAATTTCATATGATAATGAAAATAAATGTTCGGAGGGGTTCCTTGTTATTACAAGTGAAATTCAATAAAAGTTCTTATAAAATTATATAATGTTTTTGTTTTGAATAAAATGTATCTAAAAACAGGGATTTAAAAAACAAACACGTATAAATATAATTTAATCAAACGCCTTTTTGTACGACAACCCACATGATAAGGTTCATTTATTTTGTCTCGTATTCGAATTTGTAATTTATAATAATAATAATAATAATAATAATATATTTATTTGCTAGAAAAGTGGTAATAATAATGGTCTTAAATATAATAGATCTACACATTTCGCCTTATCTAAAGGCATGCAAATTTAGTATTATAATTTAGTGGCTTACGTATATTAATAGCCTGGTAGGATCAATCCATAAATATTGGCAGCCGCACACATACTAGTGGTAGCAGACTAAACAGGTACAAATACAAACTAAACAAAAACAAATACATAACAAGTCAATAATATAACAAATGCCATACAATACAAATTATATATTTAATTTTTTAAAAAGTCAGTTATTAAATAAAATATATAACCATTTTTTTAACCGTAATTTAAAACTTACTGGTAGTTCTCTTATTGATTTTGGTATTTTATTACATATTTTAATGGTCATTATATCACAGTTTTGTTGATATAAATATAACATTTATCTCAAATGTGACTTTATTCATATTCGAATGTTTTGTAAAAAGTTGTGGGTTTTGTTTAACAAATATTCCCACTTCATAAATATACATGGATGTAAGTGTTAATATTTTTAATTTTTTAAATAATGGTCTACATGTATCTGTTGGTTTTACACCACAGATAGCTCTTACGCATTTTTTCTGTGCTATAAAGACCTTTTTCGACATTATAGAATTTCCCCAAAGCAGAAGCCCATATCTTAAAATTGAACCCACATTTTAAGATAAGATATTTTAAGATATTATATTTTAAGCGAAGAGCATTTTCCCTTGTAGTTTGTTAAGCTGACATAAACATATAACATAAAAACCATGACGGTCGTAAGTTCGAAAAGGTAAATATAATTTTTTTTATTAAATTTATATTTTCAATATATCCTCAGGTGAAAAACAATGTTAACGAACCTGATTAAATTACTGTCCTGTTGGATGCCGATATAGTTATCAAAATATAGGAAAATTTAGTATTAATCTAATTCATTTTTAAAACTGTTACTTTCTTCATTTTTTTTCCCATTGTAAATAATGATAAGAACACGTAGGTATCAAATCGGAGCATATGTAAATTTCCTTGTTTCGTAGTAGCGAGAAGTTTGTAGCAGACAGGCTGGCATCATTGGTATAACAATACAAGGTTTCTCTCTGTAACGGAATCCTAAAAATACAAAAGTTTTAATGGAAGATTTACGTCTACGGTGTGTGATCTGGCGCACAATGGATTCATTTTACAAATGATCATTCAGAAATAGATATTCATCAAATTGTTTAATTGTGTTTGAAATTTGATAGCTCTTTTAGACGTTGCTCGCATTGGGGTGAGCGTCCTTTTTAATTTATTTTATCCCGGACTATCTGTGCATCAAATAGCATCTGTCAGTTAAAATATACATGGATATTTTTTTTTATGTTTACTAACATTTAGATGTACTTCTGAAATTTAAATTCATGTTTATGACGCCAGTTAATCATATTTTGGTATTCAAATTTCTAAATTAGTGTTTATACATAATTCATTCGATTATTTTTTTTATTATTAAAACTATAGTACACTAAATATTCGTTGTTTACATTGTATATTTTTCTATACCACCGAGGTAGCAAGCAAGCATATAGCCCACCTGATGGTAAGCAGTTCCCGTACTCTATACCAGAGACATCACGTCCGCGTTGCCGGCCCTGAAGAAACCTCTTTATCTCTTTTTTGAAAAATCCCATGCTGTATGATTGTAAAATATTTATAGTGAGACCCTTAATAATGTTGCCATATTAAAATAATAATTTTGAGTACTCTCTTATTTTTAAGTGACTTTTAATTGGAGGAGATTCTCAATTTATCTGTTTTTTTAATGATTATATTACGCATTCGTATTTCAAATTTTCATATTTGTTTCTATTTTACAAATGATAGGTATTAGTGTTGGATCCATAAATTAAATTTGTCTACAGAACATCGCTCATCGGTCTTTTTTTTACGACTGCAGTATTTATCTTTTCTTTTTATGGAACAAAATGTACCTATTTGCAGTCTGTTGAAAATAGGCAGTACACGTAATAAGTAAAATAAAATAAAATGAGC